TGGGAAAATATATTCAAAGTGTTAAGTGAAAAACAATTTCAACCAAGAATATTATACCCAGCAAGATTATCTTTCATATGGGAAAAAAAGACAAAAACATTCTCAGATAAACAAAACCTGAAAGAATTTACCAACACTAGACCAGCTCTCCAAGAAGTGCTGAAGGGAGTGCTATACCAGGAAAACTAAAAAGTTGGACCCACAGAAATAAAAGTACAAGAAAGAACCAAGAGAATGGTCAGCCTAATGGTAGAGACAAGTCCTGAGTTGAATGGTAACTTCCAGAGTTTAAACTGAAAGATCAGACTACAGTAACACTGCAAATTCAACAAAAGAGAGATCAATTACATGAGTCTGAACAAGTGAAATAGAAAATTTTTTTTTTTTTGGAGAGATTTTCGCTATAGGGCGCGTGCGCTCGCCAGACAGATAGACAGAGACATAGAGACAGAAAGCGAGAAATCACCCCCCAGGGGGGATGGTCACACCGCAATCCCTTCTCCTCCATTCTCCTCTCGGGATCTTGGGCACGCGCTCACATGCGCCCGGCATGAGTTTTAAGCCACCGGGTCCAGGATGCTAACGGCGGTCGACTATGTGGGAGTCCAGCAACATAGCCATTATGCTAACTGCTGGTTCCCCAAAATTTTTAATTTAGACTAAAATATTGCTGATTTTCTTCAATGCTTTGATTTCCATATTTAAGGATTTTTGTCTTCTCTTGAACGGTTAGATAGGTTCATCTACCTACTATTTGAACTGGATCCTTTTTTTCTGGATTTAAGTTTTAAGCAAGTTTCTCTTAATATTTTTAAAATTTTGATTTATTAAAACTAAAACTTCTTGGGACCAGCAGTTAGTATAATGGCTATGTTGCTGGACTCCCATATAGTCGACCATGGTTCAAGTCCCAGACCCGGTGACTTAAACTCACACCGGGCACTTATGCGTGCGTGCCCAAGATCCAAGAAGAGAATGGAGGAGAAGGGATTGTGGTGTGGCCATCCCCCTGGGGGGTGATTTCTCACTTTCTGTCTCTCTGTCTCTCTCTGTCTTTCTGGTGAATGCACGTACCCTATAGTAAAACCTCTCAAAGAAAAACAAACAAACAAACAAAAACAACTAAAACTAAAACTTCTTAAAAGTTTTTAAAAAAATATTTAAAAATACCTGTTAATACTTATTTAATGACTGCAGTAAGGTATATAGCCCCAGCAAGGTGCTACTTTAGACATGCATTCATAAATATGTATGTATCCGCTGTGCTTCCTATTAAAAGTCTTTAAGTGACATCTTAATGAATCAATAAATTGTGAGAAAAGAGGCAAGGAAAACAATTGTAAACACCAGAGACAGTGTGGGAGAAGGGGGAAGTTGGCAGAGGGTAAGAGGGGGGAAGCAAAATATGTAAGAAACAAGAAATAGAAAATTATTTGTTGAAGATAACATGTATGGTAATATCCTTGATTGAACCAATATACAATGTATACTGGATGGAAAATCTCATTTTGTATACTGTATTGATGTACAGTGAATGACTATAAATAAATAAATAATATTTTTTAAAGAAAAAAGAATTTATCTTAAACAGATTTCAAAAGGTCTTCCTCCCACTCAGCCTTTCGTACCCCAGACAACCATGGTTAACAGTTTCTTACATAACCTGGAGAGAGATTTTACACATACATAAACATGCAAGTATAAATAAGCCATTTTTTCTTTTCTTACACAAAAGGAAGCCTACTTTTTATATATTCATGTGCATTTAAACTTTAAAACAATTTTTTTTTTCATTTTTGAGAGATTTTTGCTATAGGGCACATGCACTTGCCAGAGAGACAGAAAGTGAGAAATCACCCACCATGGGGAATGCCCACACCCAAATCCCTTCTCTTCCATTCTCCTTTCAAGGTTTTGGGCAGGCATACAAATGCGCCCGTGAGTTTTAAGTCACCTGATCCAGGACTTGAACCACGGTCGATCATGTGGGAACACATGCCTTAACTACTATGCCATCTGCTGGTCCCCGCACTTACACTTTTTATTGAAATACAACATAAGTGCAGGAAAAAAAACACAAAGAGTAAATGTAGCTTGAAGAATTTTCTGAGTGCATC